AGGCAAAGAATCAGCAGTATTGGATAGATCATCTAGGCAAAGAATCAGCAGAGAAACACAAGATCCAAACAACACTCTAGACCAATTGGACTTGGCAGATATCTACAGAACATTCCATCCAACAACCTCAGAATATTCATTATTCTCATTAGCACATGGATCATTCTTCAGGATAGATCATATGTTAGGTCACAAATCAAGTCTAAACAAATTCAAAAAAATTGGAATTACCCCATGTATTTTTTCAGACCACAATGGATTAAAATTAGAAATCAATAACAAATGACATTCTGGAAACTATACAAACACATGGAAATTAAACAGCATTCTACTGAATGACATATGGGTTCAAGAAGAAATCAAGCAGGAAATAAAAAAATTTATTGAGGGCCAGCCCGGTGGCGCACTCCGTAGAGTGCGGTGCTTGGGAGTGCGGCGGCGCTCCCGCCAATGGTTCGGATCCCATATAGAGACCAGTCCGCTCCCTGGTTGAGTGCGGTGCGGGCACGACACCGAGGGTTGCAATCCCGTTGCCGGTCGTGGTACGGGCGCAACACCGAGGGTTGCGATCCCATTACCGGTCACGAAAAAAGACAAAAAGGAAAAAAAAAATTATTGAAACTAATGAAAACAATGACACATTATACCAAAACCTGTGGGATACTGCAAAAGCAGTACTAAGGGGTAATTTATTGCATTAAATGCTTACTTCAGAAGAATGGAAAGATGGCAAGTGAACAACCTAATACTTCAAAGAACTAGAAAAACAAGAACAATCCAAACCCAAAGTTAGCAGACAGAAAGAAATCATTAAGATCAGAGCAGAACTTAATGAAATTGAAATCCCCAAAATGATACAAAAGATCAATGAATCAAAAAGTTTGGCTTTTTGAAAAGATAAATAAAATTGACAAACCATTAGCATGGCTAAGTAAAAAAAGAAGACAGAAGACCCAAATAACAAAAATTAGAAATGAAAAAGATGATATTACAACTGATACCTCTGAAATACAAGGAATTATTAGGGACTACTAAAAACAACTATATGCCAACAAACTTGAAAATCTGGAGGAAATGGATAAATTTCTTTTTTTTTTTTTCCTTTTTGTCTTTTTTTGTGTCCGGCAATGGACTGCAACCCTCAGTGTCGCGCCCGTACCGGACCGGGACTGGCAACGGGATCGCAACCCTCGGTGCTGCGCCCACCCCTCGCTCAGCCAGTGAGCGGGAACCGGTCTGTATGTGGGATCCGAACCCTCGGCAGGAGCACCACCGCGCTCCCAAGCGGCGCACTGTAGCAGTGCGCCACTGGGCCGGCCCGAAATGGATAAATTTCTGACACAAACAAACTACCCAAACTGAGCCAAGATGATGAAAAAAATCTGAACAGGCCAATAGCAAAAAAAGAGATTGAAACTGTTATCAGAAGGCTCCTAACAAAGAAAAGCCCAGGATCAGATGGATTCACAGCAGAATTCAACCAAGCATTCAAATAGGAGTTGACATCAATTCTCTACAAACTATTCCAAAAGATTGAAACAGAGGCAATTCTCCCAAACTCATTCTATGAAACATCACCCTGATACCAAAACCAGGTAAAGATATGACAAAAAAGGAAAACTACAGGCCAATATCCTTGATAAACGCAGATGCAAAAATCCTCAATGAAACACTAGCTAACAGAATACAGCAACATATACACAAAATTATACACCATGATCAAGTGGAATTCATCCCAGGGATGCAAGGTTGGTTCAACATATGCAAATCAATAAATGTGATACACCATATCAATAAAATCAAACACAAGGGCTATATGATCATCTCTATAGATGCTGAAAAAACATCTGATAAAATTCAACACTCGTTCATGATAAACACTCTCTACAAGTTAGGTATAGATGGAAAGTATCTCAACATAATTAAAGCCATATATGATAACCCACTGCCAATATCATCCTGAATGGGGAAAAGCTGAAAGCTTTTCCTTTAAGAACAGGAACTAGACAAGGATGCCCACTCTCACCACTCCTATTCAACATAGTGTTGGAAGTACTAGCCAGAGTAATCAGAGAAGAGAAGGAAATAAAGGGCATCCAGATTGGAAAAGATGAAGTCAAACTGTCCTTCTTTGCAGATGACATGATCCTATATATCCAACAGCCTAAAGCCTCTACAAAAAAAATCTTGGAGTTGATAAATGATCTCAGCAAAGTTGCAGGATACAAAATCAGCACACAATAATCAGTAGCATTTCTATTCTCCAATAGTGAACATGCAGAAAGAGAAACCAAGAAAGCTTGCCCATTTACAATAGCCACCCCAAAAATAAAATACTTAGGAATAGTTAACCAAGGATGTGAAAAATCTCTATCATGAGAACTACAAACCACTGCTGAGAGAAATTAGAGAGGATACAAGAAGATGGAAAGATATCCCATGCTCTTGGATTG